GTCAGAAAGGAAGTTGAAGAGTAAGGTGGCTGAGACAAGGCAAAGTTCACAAATAAAGTGTGAAATAAAATCATACACAATGATATTAGCTACATTGTCCCATCTTCATCCAGAACAACTGGAGAGAGCATACAGTTCTGAAAAGTGACCCTCTGTAGGTCGCATTCCATTTGTGAACATTTGACTGTCTCTAAGTGGCTTGTACTGCAAACATAAATTAATATATATCTCTTAGAACAGTTTGTCATAGCTGCCCAACAGCTGAGGCCTACTAGCCAAACAGCTTATTTGACTTTTGTGAACCATTATAAACAAAGATGTAGTTTTCCAGTAACACTTTAAATGATTCTTTTTTGTGCTGTACTTTACAGCTCAAATGTTTGAAAGCATTAAATAAGAAAGAAGTTGCTTTTGTATATATGCCATATTTTACAGACCTTGTATTATTAGAATAAGAATTAATTAAGCTTGTAAGTGCCAGAAATCAGTTGGCAAACACAGAGGAATCTTTACTTTTTTTTTTTTTTGGTTAATTTTACATGATTCAAAGGCTCTTTTTCAAAATGCACAAACTAAGACAGAGGTGGGTTGTGGAACATTAGTTTCATTCCTCGCAGTTTTGAAATTAAACCCTTTGACTTTTGTTGTTCTTTTTTATAAAGAGCACATTTTTTAGTTTTGTCAAGTTATATGGATGCCTGAATGTGTATTTGTGGGGAGTTTGACATTTAGAAAGCACAAACAGAGCAAATGTGTCACCTGTGTATTTTATCTTTAATCCCTATATAACTTTTCTCTCTTCCTTTTAACTTTATTAGGCTTTCTAACTAGAGAATGTAAAATTCAGTTGATAGTTGATATGGGCTGTGCAACATTTCTAGCATTGTTTGTCTTCTGACCGACTTGCCTGTAAGAGGCTTCTGGTTCTTGGGGAGCCTGCTGCTCTCAGGTTGTGAACTGAGGTTAATTCCTAAGGTTAGGTCTTCTGATTTGGAGAGTAGCATGTAATGAAATGGTTTATCAGCAACTGTACAGATGGCAGTAGTTGAGAGCTCCTGTTACCTGAGAGCAGTTGGACAGCTTAGAAATTATGTATTCTATTGCTGTAAAAGTAGTACATCACATCTCCTTTCATAATGAGTTTTATGATTTCTACAAAAAAACCCCACTTAAATTATTTTGGGTAATTTTATTCTTAACACTTTAAGGCCCTCTCTCAAAAGCATTTCTAGTCTGTTCGCTGTTATCTGTCAGAGGCCACTGGCATACTCAGAGTCAGGTGCATGAGGGTCTAGGAGCATGACTTTTTCCAGATGTTTAGTTGTAAATAGTGACTCAGTTTGTGTCCAAGCACATTGAGAAATGCTTTAATATCAGCCAGAGATTTGCAGAGAACTGTTTCAGGATGTGCAGCTGTCGCTTGCCACTGTGCTGACTTGAACCTAAGCTAGCTCTGTGAGTTTTTGCCTGAACCGTTCCTCAGCTCAAACTGTTTTCATTGTATGAGTGCTTATACTCAAAGGCATGGTGGAGACACCTGTATAACTCTGCAGGAGTAGGTTGAGCCTGCCTTTGTGTACTGTCTGCCTGATGTGGAGCCTTCTGAAGGGCCGGTCTTTGTTGTGTGCTCAGTGGTGTCTGCTCAGTTAACTGGCTACTCAAATGGGCCCTGTCTGAGCTGGGGACAGTGCGGACTTGGTACTAAGCTAACCTTTCTTATTACTTCTTGACTGCAAGAAAGGTGGTTAAATGAGGAAAACTGATGGTGGGCAACTCAAGTCATGTCTTAACAAAGCTGACTTGTGTCCTGGGGGCTTAACTGGAGTTCAGAAGTGGCTACAGTGCTCTGGTCCTGGGGTAGTTCTGGAAGAACCATGTCTGTCTTTGCGTTGTAGCAGTGGGTCAGCTGATACCTTGTTTGAATATAGATAGGTCAGTAGCATTTTCCCAACTGTGGGATAATTGAAGTAGAGTCTAAAATAACTAAAATTTGATTGTTTGCTACATAATGAAGGATTTACTAGTTGAAAATTTAACTAATTTCAAAGAATCATAGAATATCCTGAGTTGGAAGAGACCCACAAGGATCATTGAGTCCAGCTCCTGGCCCTGCAGTGGACAACCCTAAGAATCCCACTATGTACCTGAGGGCATTGTCCAAACACTTTTTGAGCTCTGTAAGGCTTAGTGCTGTGACCGCTTCCCCGGGGAGCCTGTTTCAGTACCCAACCACCCTCTGGGTGGTCTGAACCTCCCCTGACACAGTGTCAGGCCATTCCCTCGGGTCCTATCACTGGTCACCAGAGAGAAGAGATTAGTGTCTACCCCCATCTTCCCCTCATGAGGAAGTTGTAGACTGCAATGAGGTCTCCCCTCAGTCTCCTCCAAGTGGAACAGCTGCTCCACATACAGCTTCCCCTCCAGACCCTTCATCATCCTTGTTGCCCTCCCTTGGACGCTAATAGCTTAATGTCTTTTTTATATTGTGGTGCCCAAAACTGCACACAGTATTCAAGGTGAGGCCGCACCAGTGCAGAGCAGAGCGGGACAATCCCCTCCCTCAACTGGTTGGCGATGCTTTGCCTGACGCCTCCCAGGACACGGTTGGCCCTCCTGACTGCCAGGGCACTGCTGACTCATATTCAACTTACCATTGACCAGGATCCTCAGTTTCCTTTCTACAGTGCTGCTCTTCAGCCTCTTCTTCATCAGTCTGTACATCCAGCGTTGCCCCTTCTAGGTGCAGAATCCGGCACTTGCCCTTGTTAAACTTCATTTGGTTGATGATTGCCCATCTCTCTATTTGTCAGGATCTCTTGGTGCAGCCTCTCTGTCTTTGAGGGAGTCAGCAGCTCCTCCCAGTTTAGTATCATTGTCAGACTTGCTTAGTATCCCTTCCAGTCCTGCATCCAGGTCATTTATGAAGATGTTGAAGAGCACAGAGCCTAAGATGGAGCCCTGTGGAACCCCACTAGTGACAGGTAACCAATCTGATGTCACCCCATTCACTATCACCCTCTGTGCCTGACCCATAAGCCAATTGCTCACCCACCACATGATGTGTTCATCCAGCTGTGTGCTAGACGTTTTGTCCAGAAGGATCCTGTGAGAGACAGTATCAAAAGTTTTACTGAAATGCAAAAAGATTACATCAACTGGCTTCTCTTTATCAGCTGGTTAACTAGAGTTACCTGCTATAGAAGGAAATTGAGAAGCAGGACTGTTCCATTTTGAAGACGTGCTGGCTGTGACTGATGGCTGTGTTGTTGTTCAGGTGTTTTTCAATAACTCTCAGAATAATCTTCTCCATAGTTTTACCAGGCACTAAAGTGAGGCAGGCCTGTAGTTTAATGTTTATAAAGGCAGGTGAACTTAACATTTAACTTTGAAGATGGACACTTTAAGTTCCAAACCACAAGTCAAATGCTTATTTTCATGCTTATTCAGTACATTTATATAACCATTGCTTCTTTTCAGAAGGCATGCCTAACAGAAAAGCATAGTTGTTGCCCTGTTTTCCAAACACACACCTGGGAAATAGGAAAAAAAAATATTTCATGTGAACTTTTTAGCAAGTAGAAGCAGTGTTTATATATTTGTATTTCCATTTTGGTCATTTTTACCACTTAAGACAGAAATGTCAGTAGTTTAGCTTAAATGGTATTGCATTTATCCATTCAGAAACATAATTTACTGTGTTTATAATTTAACATTTTATAGGCAACGGAAAAAGTATGATTAGCCAATATTGTCAGAGTATGAAAGTATTTATGAATGAGGAACTTACTTTTCCTCCAACCACAAAAGTTACTCGTGCAGTTCCAACTACAGTATAGAACTACATGGTCTCCACAGGCAGTGTTTGGCATTATATTCCATATTTTGCTTCTGTTGGGATGTAGTAAGACTTGTAAATGAATCTGGGTAAAAATAAAATACTGTGGACTCTAAGTCATTATCACTTGAATTATGATAGTGAATTTAATACCAAGGAAGCATTATCCCACTGTATTTGAATTCATCTCTCACAAGTTCTACTTTACAAGCTGTTTTTATGAAAATGTATTATATTGGGATTGAATACTGTGATCTGTCCTGTATTCAACATTGTATAACAGGCAGTCATTAATGCCTTTGTTTTGTGTGCAAGAACTTTATACTGATCTGGTTTTAGTCTGTTTAATCACAGTGTATGACTGGGTTGGAGGCTGTGGAAGTTGAGCAGGTAGTTTCTGTGTTCTTTTTGTTCAGAATTTAATGGTTTTAGGGTGGCTGTACATCGTGGAGCTTACATTATTCTTTATAAATGCGATAATGTTAAAAAAGGCTGGTTTCATAAGAATTAATGTCTATTCAATGTATTGAATGATTCATCATGGCTTCTGCTTCTGGGTATATATATATTCACACCTCCTGGTGCCCTGGTCATTCGGTATCAGAATACTTAAAACACCATATAGACTTACTTCGCAGTGACTGTCTTGATCTTTCATGTGGCACATGGGGTTTTCTTCAAGACTTTGTTTCACCTGTATGTTGTGATCTGATTACCTGTTTTGTGATACCTGGTTTTCTTTAACATATCTCCTACAGTTGACCAAAAGGGGGTGCTAATAGATCAAACAGTCAGATTTGTTGCACAAAGAGGTTAAGGAGATGTTTTTGTGCAATGGATCAAGTCCCAGCTACTGAATTATATCAGGTAAATACCAGTTTTCACATCTGGGTGTTGTGTAACATTGCAATCACAGCATTGCTCTCCATGGAAGGGAAATTCATGCCGTGTAAATATGGCAGCTTCTTACCATGTAGGGGTTAAGCATGGGCTACTTAGCAGATATTTAAGATGTTCAAATTTGTTGAATTTTAGAGATTGAATACAGGTACATAGAACTACCAGGTTATATGTTCAACTGAGATGCCTTAATATCCTTTATCCTGATATCACAAAAGACATCCGCTGTCCATTTTTTTATTGTTTGATTTCTCCTGTTCTGCAGAACTGGTTAATGGCATCAGCAGAGCTGGGGCCTCTAAGGTAAGAAGGAAAAAGGAGACCTAAGTAGGTTTCCTGCAATAAGGAACTCTGTGTCCTTATCCCACAGTGGGAAAGATGGTTGAGAGACCTGATACTGGTATGGATATTTTAGTTCTCTTGCAGACTGGAGAACTTCCAGTGGTTTCTCACAGAACCTCTTCATTTGTGTAGCAGAGGTGTAGAACCCGTTTGTGACTTGGCTGGAACAGCAGATGGTGGCGGAAGGGGAGTGCACACTCCTCGTGGAAGACGTGGTTAGGTGATCACAGCCATTTGTTTTTCCAGGACACATGATACCTATAGAAAGTTTTGAACTCTACAAATGCCCATTTTCACTAGTAGTCCTCATTAATTCATTTCATGTTACTGAGCTGATGTAAGACTTTACAAGTATTTAATAAGAAGACTATGTAGTGTAGTCTTTGCCAAATTTCTATTCCTGTCTTTTCTACACAGTATAAAAGACATTTAAATTTATTGTGAGACTCTAAAATAACAAATGGCAGCTGTAACTCATTCTAGATGCAACATTCAGTTCTGTTATACCACTATAAAGAATTGTGCACTGTGGAAGAAAAAGTTACTTTAACCTTTTTAAAATTCCTAACACTAAAACACAGAAATATTAAAGTATATTGTTTTGTAGCACATATAAAAACAGAGTTCATGCTGAACTGATCAGATTGATGGTAAAGACAAAATTTTGTTATACAACATTACGGTTTAAGTGAACTTTAAAAATTAGCATAATTAAATAATTATCTATTGAAAATATTAACTTATAATAGTATGAAATAATGGTACAGGATCATATAGATCAAGTTTAAGGAATTTATATGCCCGATACAGAAAATACTTTTGTAAGTACAAACTTGAATGATGGTCTCAGAAGGCAAAGGAGCTGCTATACTGTGGGAAAGTATATGCAAAATCACAAAGGACACAGGTGACTTCTTTTTGTAAACCCTAATTTTACTTTTGTCTTCTGTAATTTTCAAGGGTTCTTATTTTAAAAGGCTAGCTGTTCTAATAAACCCCGACTTTAAAAATTAAAAGCTTGTTTGTTCATCACTAATGAGCTTGCTATCAGGAAAGCATTTGAACAGATCAACAACAGAGCTGTGACCAGTTTGGAGTCTTGTCACACTTAGTTTATTAGATAGTAACTATGAAAGAAGTTTGTTTGATATGTGTTTTGAATAGGGTATTAATGGGCCTAGAAGGTAGCAGTGTTTATTGTTGCTAGCCACATGTAAAACTCTCTTTATGGTTTCTGAAATTTAGAATTATTTTACCAGTCTATTTATGAATATTTATGAATATTTTACCAGTGTATTTATGAATTCTGTGTAGAGTAATTTTAAATGAGAGTTTGATTAGTCTTTGAAGAGGGTAGAAATGGAACTTCCTGGTCTTAAGGCTTCATCACAAGATATTTCAGCAGGGGGGAAAAAAAAGCATAAGCAGTCAAAAAGAGGCAAAATGGGGTAATGCGTACTCATGTTGCTTACAAAGAGAAAGGAAGAAAATAGCTTACCTTTCCAGAGGTCAGTAGCAGAAAAAAAGCAGTAGAACTTCATGAGAATGGAGCTGTCAAATTGTGTTTTATACTTCTGCAAGTTTATCCATCACAAAAACTATCTAAAAGTTGGCCTGAATTTGGGCAGAAGCAAATATTAATGGGAAATTTTGTGAGAATTACTGTATTGTTCAGGACATAATAAAAGGCTTAAATTGAGTTGTACTTTAATGATTTAGATTGCATATTCATTAAATTTGAAGGTAGAATAGGTGTTTTAAAGTTTATACAATTTCTAAGGGGAATCTTGAGCGATGAAATGATACTTGCCATTGTGGGAGTTTGAGAAGAGAAGATTGTGTGAAAAAAGTCTGTTTCCTGGTTCTCTCCTCAGTTAAGTGCCTCACATTAGGGACAAACTTGAAATGAAGCCTGTTGAAAATTAAACAAACATTCTGGGAATTAAGAAACACTTTCTGGTGACTTCCAAATCTTAGTATTTCAGTTAACGTGGTATTTCAGAGATGCTGGTATTTTCCAAGCTCCAGATTACTTTCCTATGAGAGATGCAACAAATGGAAGAATCAACAGCCTGTCATCTTTAAAGCAAAACTGGTATTTAATGTATTTTCACATGGGGGTCTCTCTTTCACTGACTTAAGATTCGCTTTCCTAGTCTAGTCCAAAAGCCAATTTTCAATCACTTTTCAATTAAGAAGTCCTGAAAGAAAATACGTGCTTTCCAACTCACTGCAATCCAGGGATGGACAGAAGGCAACATATGTAAGAAATGTACAAGGTTTCAAATTCCGGCAACAATTGGGCATGTTCCAGAACCACGTAGTCAAAAGAAATGGCTTTGAAAGGTGATGAAGAGGAGTAGAAGATGACTTAGGTTAGTAAGCTGTCCATCTGTTTTTGAAGATGAACTGAAACATCGTGGGCAGCTGCAAGGTGTGTTACCTTGCAAATTACCCCAGTTGACAGAGACACCTTGTGCAAAAAAATCAGCTACTCCTGTACAAAATGTGGAGGCATCTCAGAAAGAACTTCTGCTAACCTTTAATCTGGTGGGAGTTTTGCCCTGCCCTTCCCTATTAACTATAAAGGTGCTAGTAAAAACAGTGTCAAATGACATAATGCTGAGTGGAAATAATTTTGGAAGGGCATGGCATTTATACTTCTCAAAGCTTTTCCAATTTAAAACAAAACAAGCAACTCCCACACAACCATATTCAAACTGATGTGTGCTAAATTGTGTTACAAACTGAACTTTTACAAGAAAAAGTATGATTATGATCAACCTTATTACAATCCTTGTGTACCCAAAACTTTACATATTGATCAGACCTCTTCACAGAGCAAGGGTCAGAGGACTTCTTGAGTCATAGTCTAGATTACTTTTCTTTACAGAAGGGATTAATTAAATTGCATAATCCAGTGTTGTTCTTTGGACGTATGTTAAGTAGTGTTGTGAACACTGTATCACGTAAAGTTCCAGAATACCTGCAGAATACTACTTTGATACTAGAGCTACTGAAGCAGGGAAGAAACTGATTTTCCTATTACAATGTTTTTTTGGCTTATTTAAGATTGGACATTTTGTGGCTTCAGCTTGTTGGGACTGGAACACAAGTGTAATGCTGTTCAGAATATTCTTAGGATAACTTCTGTCTTTCTGTGTTATTGAATAAGAACCATATAACAAGCTTTTATCCTAGAACTCTGGTATCTGTCTATTCTGTTTTTATGCTATATTATTTTACATGCACAAATTAAAAAATAGTAGCTCTGTTGAGCCAGAAGCTCTCTGGTACAGAGGTTTTTGAGGTAATGGAGTGGTTACCTTTGATATTTATTAAATTGTTTTCCTTCCTTGCACTTGAAAACTTCTGGTTCTTCAAACAAAGTAATCTTCCGAACAGATTTTGTCACTCTAAATAGTAATAGATGTGTCTGTCCATGTCAGAGTTGGTGATTCTATAAACTTTGTGCTTTGGAGAATTTTTGAATTCCATTGAATCAATTTGAATTTCCATTGGCACATGAAAGGTAATTAATAGAGTGTAATCTGGATTAGAAGTATAAATTCAATATTACTGAACTTTGTTCAGTTGCTTAGTTTTGTAAGATTCTTGTGTTGTATAGACAACTCTCTTCTTGCATTTTGCTTTCTCATTTGTTTAAGATGACCTTAATTAGATATGAAGCACACTATTGTCTACTTGGATTTCTCCAAGGGTTTTGATATGGTTTCTCACAGCCTCCTTCCAGAAAAATGGATGTGTTATAATCTAACAAAGTGACCCTTGCAGTGGGTGGGGAACTGGTTGACAGGCAGCACCGAGAGGGTGATGGTACAACGCTCCCTTTCATGCTGGCAACATTCACAAGTGGGGTCCCCAGGGATCAATACTGGGCCCAGCACTTTTTGGTATCATCATAAGTGATTGGTGGGATCAAGTGTACCCTGATAAAGTTTGCTGATGATACCAAACTGAGTGAGGAAGTAGTCACTTTGTAAAGGAGACTCGCCTTGCAGGAAGACCTAGAAGGCTGGAAGAATGGGCTAACTTACAACGTTCCACGAGGGCAAGTTGTTGTCCTTGCAGCCTGGGAAATTGTAATCCAGGAGTGCAGCATAGTCTGGGTTCTGCATGGCTGGGGACCAGCTCTGGGGAAAGGGACCTGGCGGTCCAGGAGGAAGACAAGCTCCGTGGGAGTGATCTTTGCTACTCAGCAAAGAAAGGCAACAGGCTGCAGGGTTGTATCAACAAGGGCATCAGCACCAGAGATGAAGAAGTTATTATCCCACTCTTTTCAGCATTTGTCAGGCCACACCTGGAATACTGTATGGACAGGCTAGAGATGTCCAGAGAAGGGCCACAAAGCTGACCAAAGGACCAGGAATCCTGCTGTATAGGGAAAGGCTGAGAGAACTGAGTTTGTTCAGTCTTGAGAAGAGAAGGCTTACAGGAGACCTTGTCATCATGTTCCACTATTTAAAAGATCCTTACGCAGAAGGTGGAGACTCCCTTTTTACAGGGAGTCATATGGAAAGGAAATTAATGATACAAGTTACTCCTGGGGAGATTTCAGTTAGACACAAGAGGAGAATTTTTTACAATGTAGTAAGACAGCCATTGGAACAGTCTCCCCAGGGAAGTGGTGGGTTCCCCAGTGTTGGACAATTCAAAGATTCAGCTGGAGAGGGTACTGGACCATCTTGTCTAGACTGTGATTTTGCCAAGAAAGGTTGGAACAGATGGTCTTTGAGGTCCCCTTCCAACCTGGTATTCTATGATTAGCTCAGAGAATTAGGCTGCTTGGCTTGGTTCACCTGCTGTGACATTATTTTGCCAAAAGATGATTGGTACTCCGAGGGCTGAACCCTGATGTTAGTGACATAATACAAGTTAAGGTCAGCTTTTACTTGTTGATTCAGTGATGTGGAATTGGGTCCTGTGTTTCCATGTGTACCTTACAGATTTAGCAATTATGCAAGAAGATTAACCATATTTCTTGGAAATGAATAAGCTGACCCAAAATGATTTAGAAAGTAAGCAAAATAGTTGTGAGTTTTACCCAGTCAAAACCAGAAAATTGTGTTTGCAGTATCAACTTAGGGTTTGTTTAGTAATTTTTTGTTTGGGTTTGGTTTTGGTTTTTTTTTTAATTGGTAATGTTCTGCTGTTAAAGTGTAGAATTGGAGCTTTACCATTACAAATAGATTTAGGATTTTTTTTCCTGTGATGCCATCATTTTCAGGATCAGAGTTCCAGAATGCTTGCAGCAGCCGTGTGTTTTTCTGTCTGTTCGTGACAAACCAGCTACTGTACATTCATATAGAGCAGTACAGTCCTTGCCACTGGCAGTCTCTCTGTGACAGAGAGCCTGTAGGCTGACATAAAGTGCAGCCTGTTGTGAACTACTAAGTGGGAGTCTGCCAAAAACTCAGCAGACAGAACTAATTGGGGAGAAAAAGGATTTTTGTGCCCTCATCTCTCCCTCTTCAATTTTTTTTACAAGACGGATATTGTTAAAGTAACTTGTTTATGTAAGATTTGTCTGCCTCTATTTTCTCATTGCATGAATCATTTTTTAACTTCAAGTCTTGCACCGCAGGTCACTGAGCACTTCCACATGGCGGCTGGCGCAGGACCAAACTCAAGACACGCAACTCATCACAGTTGATGAAAAATTGGTAAGAGTTTTCTACTGAATACTGCTATGATACAGCCTTCAGGGTTATTTCTGCACAATATGCATTCAGTATGGTATTCCGCATTCTTCTAGGAAAGCCATATAAATGTGAACTACAAAGCAACAGTCCCTCATACATTTTTAAAAGGGTAACATCAGTAAAACATAACTATGTGATTGCTTAACACTTTGAATGCCATATTTCAATGTAAAATGATCAGTACCTGACCTGTTATTTTTTATATTTTGGTCGAGGACCAGTGTGAGCTGTAATTAATAATTTATTCTTTTTGAAATTTGCATATATTTTCTGTGTAGTGAAATTACACAGAATTTTGCCAGCTCCGTAATATTTTCTTCATTAGGACTCATATTACTGAAGATACTGTGTAAGGAAACATCATGGAAGATTATTGTTACTATGCAATATACACTGTAGCTTTTGAATATGCATGAAGGTTAGATTACAGCTAGAAACAAATGCATAACATTCTTCTGCTAATCAGTAGCAGATCAGAAATTTGGCAGTCTTTTCTTGTAAGTTCTTCCATAATGTGTGGTCTGTTACTCTAGATGCAACCTGACACTTATGTTTACATTATTCAATAGTATAATTTTTGTAAGACTTCTGGGGGGAATGCATCACAGCAGAAGCATGCTTTTCATTGGGGGTCATATCGCTTTTGAATCTTCAGGAAAAAAACATTCCTTTGTATGTTCCAGGCGGTTCACATTGTGTGTACTTTTTTGTATCCCCTTAACTACCTAAGAAATATTTGGAATTTGTATTTATAAATTGTACATTTGCAGTGATAACTAGAAGTTGAGACAGCTGAAGTTTAACAGGCTACTGGAAAAATCCCCCACACCTACTTTAACAACTCTTTAGTGCTTTTTTCTTGTATGTTTTGTATGTAGATGTAACAATAATACCTACATACAGGTAAAAAAAGTTATTAAACTTTCTGAATTTAAGAAGTAACAGTATAATTTTAGGTTCAGAAATTAAGGAAAAATTAGTACTTAATTCTAGCAGACATGATTATCTTGCTAATCTAGTTGCATAACTAGGAATTCAGGAACTTTGTACAGAGTTCATGAGTCACTGTGTAAATAAGATTCAGCAGACCGCATTTTCCTAAATGAATTTTAGATGTAGTGTTCTTTAACAGTAAAAAAAAGTGTATATCTAAACAGAGGTTTTACAGTGCCTGAATTTGCAGTATCACATTTCCCTATTGTGGCCTCAGGTGATGGATGCATAGATGGAAAGAGACAACAGCACAAAGACAGACACACAAGATAAATTCTCTTCTATCTTCCATTTTGTGTTAAAATGTACATTATCCAAAGTTAGGGTTGTACTATCTACAACTATGAGAGTTTATACTTCCAGTTGAGTGAAAGTGAAACTAATTTGAAATACAACTATTCACTTGCTGTAGTGTTATTGTAAAATGAATGTAACTGAAGTGCTTATTTCTAGTGTAATTGTATGTTGTCATCAAGTTGAAGACTCTCTTATTATAGTTGCTGTGATTTTTTTGCAATCTCATAGTTGCAGCCTTTGAATATTTTTATTTTTATATATATAATTTATATAAACTATTACTTTATCTTTAGTTGTATTGAGTACTAGGTTAAATGTCTGACTGAATAGTATTTCCCTACAGTGCTGTGCATGTAGGTCCACATTCTATATGCACAAACCTTTTTTTTCCAGATTATTGTAGGACCTGAAATAAAATGACAGAAAATAAGAATAATTTGTAGATTTAGTTAAATTTTTGGAGTAATTAATGTCATAAAGTAACCAATAATTCATATTCTGTTAACTGGCAAAAATTATGTCCTGTTAGCAAGGAAAATATTCACAGAAGGGTTTGATGTGGTTTTCAACTCTTTCAAGATTAGGAGAAGTTCTTTAGACATTTGTTAAACTTTATGGAAAAGTAGAGTACCTTCTTAACTTATTGTAGGTTGCTGCAGTATTTTTCCTAATTTTAAGTAGGATTAATTAGAACCCATTAAAGCTAATTTAAGAATCTGCATAAATTTTCTTTAATTAATGTTGCAAAGCATAACAAAACCATTATTTCCTTGCAAATTATAATTAAACTGTATTCTGAAAGTTGATACTTAGTCTTTAATTTCAAAAGACCCCTTCTTTCATTTTACTGATTGTTAGAAATCCTTAAATCGTATTTTGATGGATTTGTGATCCTGGTCATATATATATATATATTTATTTGTTTTAAAGCTGAACATCACCTTATAGGTGCTTTTACGTGCACATCAGAAGACAGAGCAAGAACAGGTGGAAAGTAGGATATGGTTGTGCTTGTTTGCTTTGCTCCTCTGAAACTTATTTTGAAACTAAACTCTTCTGTGACTTGACGTTTACAGGGCTAGTAGAGTAACCTTGTGGTTGTTGAAAACTTTCAACTGCATATTGTAGTGTAATTAATCTATTTCCAATGCTTTTGTAGACCTTGTGTTCATATGTGTACATCCATATGCTAGACTTTGTTCAGCAGGAATTCCTTTGAATTACCTAGAGTCTGATTGGGTTCTCTTTGTGTTGGTAAAAACAAATAGAAGGTGGATGAGCATCCCGACACTGAATAATTATGTGGTAGTTGGTCACCTGCTTACTGCAGCCTAGAATGTGTTGAATACAATAAGAAAAATGAGTTGTAATGAAATAGTGGAAAAAACAGTAGTTTAGAGCACATTCATTTCACACTAGAAAAAAATTGGGACTCTTAAATGGGAAAGGATTTAAGTGCTCAGCTTGCATAGAACACATCCAAGAAATTATATCTTTGTCTCAGTTATCAGCTGTTTTCTGTGAATACTGAATAAAATAACTTTTAATGAACAGTAAAATCAGAAGAAAATAACATACAAAATTAAGAAAGCTCAGCGGAAATACAGTTCTTGCATGACATTTTGAATCTCTGGTCACCAATTAGATTGTATTCCAAGAGTTTGGACAAATAGCTATGTGAAAAGTAGACTCTCAAGACCCTGCTTGCATTAGGAAATTTGGGCTGTAGAGGGCAAAGGCCATCGGCAGCAAATCTCACTCACGTAGTGTTCCAAATTATTTAACTGTTCGTGTGTATGTTATAACATAGCTTCCATCATTATTATAAAAAGTTGAAGTGGTTTTGCCTGAAATGGAGGTTTGAATTGTCCTAATTCCTGCAGTTTGTTCCAGTTATTGAGAGTAGGGTGCATCTATACTGTTTGTTGTAGCTAAGTGTCTTCCAGTTGAGCATGAATGCTTTAGCAGACTTCCCAGCCAGTGCTGGTAATGCTGCATTTTGGGTGTCTAGCTGGAGTTGGGCACTTTGGTGAGGGTTGCACCCTGCAATTGAAAGGTATCCACAAATATTTGTCAATAAAAGGACCTTTACGTTGGTTAAATGGTAACAGTATTTAATATCCAAATTTCAAAATTAGAACTACTACCAGAAATTATCCTTTGCATTGCTAAAGCAGAATATTCCACTGACAATATATATGCTGTAGCTCAAAGCAAAAATTATTGCATGAGCAGTTATAGGAATCGGTCACTGGGGAGACACTAGAAGAGTTGTGGAACTGTGGTTAAGGATCAGTTGTAGTCATCTCACAGATGTTTTTATTCTGTACCAGGCCAAGATACAATAGGAGTTGCTACACAGAGTTAAGCATTCCAGACCAGTGCTATCAAGTGCAGTTGAAATGGTACTGAATTAGTTTTTGCAGCATTGTGCAAACGTCTAGGGACAGAATTTATTATGAGTATGACAGGCTAAGTAGAATGATGACATTTCGTCACCTGTCCTGAAGTTGTTTTGTTTGGTCTGTAGTGTTAGCTAACCTTTTTTCAGTAATGGTTCAGCAGTCTCAGTACTGAACCTTAGCAAAGGGCCATTTTCCTTTAGATTGTAGACAAACTCTACATAACTCACTGAAGGTGACATATACACCAAACTGGGCACAGAAAATCTGAATCTTTATTTGAGGATGAGCAGTTCATACTTTTCAAAAGACATTAGAGATGAGCAGTAAATACCATATACTGCAGCAGCCTAGGCCAAAGCATGTAAGTAAATGCACATAGCGGATGAAGGAAAGGCCATGATGTTATCTACCTGGGCTTTAGTAAATGCTTTCCCACAGCTTTCTCCTGGAAAAACTGCCTGCTCATGGCCTGGATGGGTGTACTTTTCATTCCTTGAAAGACTGTATGACTGAAGGCCAAGCCCAAAGAGTAGTGTGAATGTAGTTAAAATCCAGCTGACAGCCAATCTCAAGTGGTGTTCCCCAGGGTTCAGTATCAGAGCCAGCCCTGTTTAATATCGTGATTGATGATCTGGGCAAGGGGATTGAGTGCACCCTCAGTCAGTTCACAGACGCTTCCAGTTTGAGCAGGAGTGTTGATCTGCTGGAGGGCAGGAAGGTTCTGCAGAGAGATCAGGACAGGTTGGATCAGTGGGCTGGGGCCGGTGGTATGAGGTTCAAGACCCAGTTCTGGGTCCTGCCCTTGGATCACAACAACCTGGGGCAGTGCTGCAGGCTTGGGGCAGAGTGGCTGGAAAGCTGCCTGGTGGAAAAGGACTTGGGGGTTCTGGTTGACAGAAGCTGAACATGATCCAGCATGTGCCCAGGTGGCCAAGAAGGCCAGTGGCATCCTGGCTGGAACAGCTGTAGTGGGGGCAACAGGACCAGGGCAGCGATTGTCCCCCTGTACTGGCACAGGTGAGGCCAAACCTCAAATCCTGTGTCCAGTTCTGGGTGCCTCACTAGAAGAAAGAAAATGAGGAGCTGGAAGGTGTCCAGAGAATGGTCTGGAGCGCAACTGTTGCAAGAAGTGGCTAAGGGAACTCAGTCTGTTTAGCCTGGAGAAAAGGAGGCTCAGAACAGACTTTATCATTCCCTTCCAGTACTTGAAAGGAGGTTGTATCCAGTTGGGGGTCTTCTCCCAAGTAGCAAGTGATAGGACAAAAG